AAAAAAAAAAAAAAAAACCAAATATGAATAACAAGTGTTGTCATCGGATATAGAAAACGAGAGTTGGAAAAGGTGTAAAAAAATGATAAATTTTGAGATTGTGGATGAGTATAAGATAAAATAGGCCTACACAACCTTCACTGCTTTGGTCAGTAAATCATAACTTGTATTCTTTGACATTTTAATAACTATTTTTTGGTAGACAAATAAGTTAGTTTAAAATCTGTTATATAGTTAGCTTACAAACTTCATATATTTAAATAACCTTCGTCTGGTAGGACGAGTTTATTTGAAAATTTCGAGTTTATCTCATAAACTTCTTTGGGTAGCTTTTCAAATAAGCTGGTTGAAATTTTTATTTCAGCTAACTTATCAACTAATTTTATCAAACACTTTTATCATATAAGTTAGTTTTTTAGCTACAAGTCATAATAAGTATAAGCTCGAAAATTACTAATAAACTATAAACTAACTTATCAGTTATCAACTAATTTTACCAAACATAATACTCCCTCCTATTTTTTTTAAATGTCATTCTAGCCTTTTCAACTATTTGCCAAATAAATGTCATTTTGAATCTTTTGTACATATTTTTCTATTATTACCCTCATTTAGCCAATAAATGCATTACGTCTTTTCATATTCACTCTTTACTTTTTCTCAAAACATCTATTTCTATCTTCATTAAATAAGATTATTATTGATAAAAAAAATATTTTTAATTAATGTGCAACTTTTCAAAACGACATATATTAAAAATAGAAAATAGGAGGTAGTATTAATTTAAAATTTTGGGCAATACAATACAAGTCTTTTTAACTTTCATTGACGGAAAGTGATGTAGTGCCATTATTTTTTCTCATGTGGCGTCAAATTAGCCCAAATGTTCAAATAATCCCCACATACCATTTCTCCTTTATTTAAAAGGGGATCAATACTGGTTCTCCAATCTCCCGGGTCGAACTCGAGACATGGTACACACCGAGCGAAGGTACGCGCCACTGCGTTACCCTCTTCGTCAACTTTCCCCCAAAGAACCCAAAGTCACTTTATTTCCAAGAAATATGATAAAATGTCTACAACTTTTAGTGCAAATCCAACGAAATATCGACTTTATTCAACTAGAGAGGTACTGAAGATTGCCCGAACTTAGTCTGTTTTCATGGGGTCGAAGCAGATATCTTCATGTCAAATATGGATCTCAACTGATGTTGTTTTCGGCGTTATCGTCGCATCCTCATCTTCTCTCGTCTATGCAATCGTGAGTCTTCCCACTGTTACCTCGCGTCCGCTCAACGACGAGCCGCACGCGCTCCGCCTGAAGTGGTTGAATGTTGGCGAGACCATGTTCCTCGACGACGTCGATTTTGGCGACCTCCTCTGCCAGCGCAGTTGAAGCTGTTCTGATGCCGAGAGAAGCTGCAGCCCCCGCGATGGCTCTGCCCTTCCGCGTGGGCCATGCCGAGAGAAGTTGCTCTAACCGTTCCAAGGCGCTGATCAAATTTGTTTCAGCTACGGCGGCCGCATGCTCTCCCACTACCTGGGCGGCAAGATCCAAAAAACTTTGAGAAAAATAGTTCGATTGACCGTGTATGATTTAGGGTTGTTAGTAAATTGGGGAAAAATCGAATACAAAAGATGGTGTGGTGCCAATTAATTGAAGGTTATATTTGTCATTTTGAGATATATCTTATCAACTAATCCTTAGTAAGTGCTTGATTTTTATGATAAAAAATACTACCTCCTAGTTTTAATATATGTCGTTTTGAGAAGTTGCACATTAATTAAGAATATTTTTTTGTTAATAATAACTTTATTTAATGAAGATAGAGATGAATGTTTTGAGAAAAAGTGAAGAGTGAATATGAAAAGACGTAATGTATTTATTGGCTAAATGAGGGTAATAATGAAAAAATATGTACAAAAGATCCAAAACGACATTTATTTGGCCAATAGTTAAAAATGCTAGAATGAAATTTAAAAAAAAAAAATAGGAGGGAGTACATCATATATTGTAAATAAATATTAGATGTAAATCAAGATTGAACAAGTACTTAGGTTATCTGTCCAACGACATCTACCTAAGAGTATCTCAAATGGCTCAATGTCTATTTTAAGATATATGTTGTGGAGAAAGGAAATAATTTTTTTTTGTCTCCAATAGTTAATCTCAATTGTAGGATAATTTGACACGTGTAATATAATAATTGGTTGGTAGAAATATAAATATAAAATAAATAAGAGCATCTCCAATGGTATCTTGTCTATTTTGGGTTGCATGACATGAAAGAAGGAGATTAAAACATTGTGTCTCCAATGGTTAAGGTTAAAGGTAGTTTAATATGACATATGTAATTTTATAATTGGTTGAAAAAAAGAAAAAATTGAATAAATAATATAATATACAATAGAAGTTGTCTAGAAGTACTTCTACATCTAGAAAGACTTGTAGAATTTTGTTAGGCCACGTAGGATTTTTTGTGCCATGTGGCAACAGAAGGGGCAATCCAAAAACCATTGGAGATGCTCTAATATAATATAAAATGGAAGATGTCTAGAATTATTGAATGCCACATTGAATTTTGAAGGCTATGTGACAATGGAAGAGAGCAATATATGTACTATTGGAGATGCTCTAAGGCCTAGTTTGTTACACTAGATTAGATAGGATAACACCCCCAATTATGACCTTATCCTGTGTTTGGTACCATAGATTGAGGCCCGCAAAAAATCCCTTGGCCCGCTACTAAATAAGTTAATCATGAGTATGGAGGATAACTCAATCTCGAGGTTGAGGTGAGTTTATCCCACCTTTTATGAGAGAATGAAATGACCAATTTATCCCCACATCTCTATCATTTTCTTCATCTTTTCATCATCTCTCCATTATTTCTTCTTTCACCACAGTGCACTGCGTCAGCCCCGTCGTCTTCACTCTCTCTCCTTCTCTCCATTGTCATCCCCATCTCAATCACACCTCTTCATCATTCAATTCATCTTTTAATTATTCAACTCAAGAAATAAATTCTTCCACCTGCAACCATAAATCTAGCGGCAAAGGAGAACATCATCAAGGAGTTGATTTCCAATTTGTCATTTTCTTCTATCGTTTAATTTATTTTCCTTCCATATCCACCTCCTCCCGCCGATGGAGCAACACCAGCCGCCGGTAGCCGAGCAGGGCCGCCACCGTCTCCATTCGCCAGCCAGCCCAAAAAATTTATACAAATAAAAGATGAAGAAGTTTAATTTAGAGCAAAAAAATAAAATAATAAAACCCTATCAATATGAAAAGAGATAAAAAAAAAAAAAGAAAGAAATAAGTTAGATGTGCAGATTTTGCAGAAGAGAAAAGAAAGAAAATGGTTAAGAATGATAAAGGAAAATAACGGAAGAGAAAAAATAAAAGTGAATAAAATATTAGTTGTACATTTTAGACATTTCCTAATTTCAATATTTATTCTAACAAAATTTTATCAAGCTAACAAACATGAGATGTAAAAAATCCTAAACAGTGCAATCCTCTTAGAGCTCGTTTGTTTGGGAAGACAAGATTAGATAATTTAATCTTGTCAGACAAGATTAGGGGTGTAGAGATTAATTGAAGATAAAATTATCTTATGTTTGTTTTCCTTGATTCATTCAAGATGATATTAGTGTTCTTAAATGTAATTTTTGTTTGTTATCCATGATTAACATTAGGATTACAAGTACAATTACATATTTGGCCCTTATTAGAATATTGATTTGCATGTTTTTTTTTTTTTTTAAATTTGTACGCAAGTGGTGTTGTCTTTTTTTTTTCTTATTATTGTTTTTAATATTTTTTTTAAACAACATACGTGCATGGCCATGTTGTTTTGAAACAATTTTATTTTTTTTGTTTCCCATTTCAACACAGTGGTGGCCGCTGTGGTTACACATTATTTTTGCATGTCCATTTTGTTGCTTGTTGTATTTTCGTTTTTTCCCCTTTTTTAATTACAAACTCTTTTTGCTACATGTTGTTTAAATCAATCATCATGCAAAAGTAGAAAAAACAAAAAGAAAATAACAAAAAGCAATAGATTTTGTTTCTGATGCATGGTGGATTTTTCCTCACCTGTGAACCTTTTTCATCTTATGTCAATCAATAGATTTTGTTTATGATGCATGGTGGATTTTTCCTCACATGCAAGATTCTTCTTGACTACCAATACCATCATGAGCCTTATGACTAAAAAAATAGCAAAAGAAATCTACATTATTGTATTTGTTTTCAAGGAATCCAATGCATGTTCTGTACACAAATTTCCCACTATAAACGAGACTACAACATGTGATGGTAAAATCGTTCATTTTTTTCCCAGATAATTCGTTCTCACTTTTCCACTCTCTTTTACTTCAAACTCAATGCCTCGCCTTTCCACTCCTGTAACGCAAGACGAATGCCTCTACGACAGTCGTTGGACAAAAGAGGCTGACAATCTTTTTATTGACATGCTCATTGAGTCGCATCTGCTTGGGAAGTGGAGTAGTGGTCGTCCCGGGCCTGCAGTCTTCGGTTACTGCCGCACTATTTTCATTTATGAGCTCGAACAAACTGTTAGTCACGATGAATTTGCTGAGAGATTCAACTTTCTTCAAAAGCGGTACGAAGTTTTTAGCTGGATGCTAGGCAAACCCGGTTTACGGCACTGCACTGAAACAAATATCCTCACCGCTCCGGTTGCCGTTTGGGATGATGTCTTCGAGTACAAGCTTCATTTCAAAAAAATGCATTAATTACAAAATTCAATTTTACACTACTGAAGATCTTTTTTATTTTACTATTTTAGTCAAACGCTTTTAGCGTTGCTTATCAACATTCCGGAGACCCACGTTGGCCGGACTTGCGTGTCATGTTCGAGGAGGTGTTTTGTACAAACCCAAGGTCCGAAGTTGTTCATGACCGCAACTCTACAGCCCAAACACATGTCGTTGATGACAATTCCTATTACAATGCTTTGCAATCACTTTGTAGTCGCAACAACGCTCCACCGCAACACGGTGGCCCGCACGATGCCTTGTCCGAAAGCTCCGTTAACACGCATGTCCACGTGTTAATTAATCGGAGGGGCAGTCGAACCCCATTGCGCATCCCACGTCCACCGCGTAAGCCAGACCCGGCTTCCTGCAAGGGTTCGACTAGCGATACTCAACTTTGAAATGACGTTCATGTTATTGAATCCACTTGTGTGCGTAGTATGTGTTTTCTTTGTGGGTGACTGTTTATGTGTTTATTGTGGTATAACTATGGTTGACTACGTTTTCCCCTACGCTATCTATTGATCTTTGTATGAAATATATGTGTCTTTTGTTGAATGCATAATGTTATTTGGCTTACGTATTTGCTATCTATTCTAATTTTTGTGGTTGTAGTGGACATTTGTTTATCAATTAAATCGCCATATGTAATAGTCGTCGCCATTTTATATTTTTATCCTTCCTCCGTATTTTGTGCTCTCAACTCGTGATGATGTGTTGTCGATAAATTGAATAAAATGATGCCCAAAAGGAATATATATTATACAAAATAGTCCATAATAATTAGTAGCACAAAAGTGACTGACTGTGGCAATATCGTACATAGAAAATTATGCCACTAAACCATAGAAGACAAATTGTACTCCCGCATACACACCACAAAAGAACATACCAAAACGGACTTTTAATATATGAAAAACGCAGCAGAGCATAAACCTTACACAAGACCCATACCTACTCCGAGTCAACGCACGAGTCGACGTCAGTGTCGAGATCCATTTCATCCGGTGCATGGTCCGAATCAATGTCAACGACCTCGACTGGGGCGGGTTCTGCCACGTACTCCTCCTCGTCATTTTGAACCGCATGCACATCATTGGCGGCGGCCTCACCCTCGTCACCCTCCTCATTCTCGAACTCGAAAGCAGGACCTTTAGCACCCTCTGCCCCGTTGGGGTTATCTGCATCACGCATTTCGTCATCCGAGTCGGCAAACATGATTGGGTCGTCGCCTCTTTCACCCGCCTGGACCTGCACCGTAGCCGCATCTCTAAGATGCCACAGCTCCATGCACTCTTCGTACCATGGGAACCCAACATGGCAGAAAAAATATTCCAAATCCGTTTCCTATCATGACGAAAAAAAAATTAAATATTATTTAGGATCGAACATCACGTTCCGTACACTTTGCATGCATGCACGACCAAAGTCATAGCGAGTGGCTATGGAGGTGTACAAGAGTAATGCATAACGGTAAGTAACACAAACCCGGCCGACGTATGCCCAGTAGGTATGAGTTACTGTTACTAGTCCCGTTTCCGCATTCACATCCACGCCCGGAGTGTCAAGAAAGGTGAGGAACTCCCGGTAGTACGTGTGCAGTGCCTTGATCTTGGCTTTACACTTCAGTGCCGAGAAATACAGGGCCGTCTCTTCTGTCAACTGCATGGAAAGGTGTGGCCATATCGAGTTGAATACGGCCGGTACGTTGACATCGGGAATTTCTCGACAAATGTTGAAAAAAAGCCGATAGCACTCCCGCTCCTCGTTCGTTGTCCAACCGGGCCGCCGAAACCTCTCCACGATACGTAGCATGCTTGCATGACGATCCATTGAAAGTGTTTTCAAATGAAGGAATCTGTAATATAAAATAAGGAAAATAATTGAATTCAATATGAGCCTGTACAGATAATTAATACTAAACTCTGTTAATGCGAGCAAATATGCGTGTGGAGTATAACAGATGGTATCCTCTTACCTAGACTTGTTTTTAACTCCCTCAGAATTAGAGGTCACCTCCTTGCACCAAATACCCTTTCATTTATATGGGTAGATGTTTTAATTATGTGGGTTGGAGTCTTGGGGTAGGTGTAATTGAATTGCAAGAGTAATGACATGTAATGATGGTTGGAGTTGTCTTTCACTCATCAATCTTCTCTCATTTGTTATGATGACCATTGATTGTTGTGAGTGGTAGTTAGTTGGGCGGTGGATGTATGTTTTTTATTTATTTTGTTGCAACAAATGTACATTCTTTACATAGTTTTGTGTGGAATATATGAAAAATTAAGAACAAAATAGTTTATTTTTTTTGCTTTTCTAATGTGGGGACAAATGGTCTTTTATGGACATGAGGGTCAATAGAAGGATGTTCACTCACACATAAATATGTACAAAATTTTTTTTTTGTTGTTTTGTTATTTGCATTAAGTTGCATACTACATGAAATAGTACAAGGTTGATATATTTAATTATATAAAAACAACATTTGTTCATTTTGTTCGTCTATTTAACTAATGAAAGAATTTTTTTTTTTTTTCGGTAACTTATTTTTAGTGTAAAGAATTACATAAATCAATAGTATGACACTTTGTTCTCATATATATATATACATTGTTATAATATTTTACTTATTACTTTTACATTCTTTAAGAACTTTATAAATTGAACGGTTATATTGGTTCAACCGCGTGTGGGTGGCATGTTCGGTATGATTCCACGGGATGGTATTTAATCGCGTAATATTGCGTAAAATAAATGACAATGCTTCATACTTTGAATGTGAGGGTATGCGAAAAATTTAAAAACTAATGTCCCGACAATAGGTTTAAATTTTTTCCCGGAACCCTACATATTCAAAGTATGAAGCATTGTTAAACAGTACTCATGTTCGTGTACGTAGAGTATCTAAAATACCACGAACCGGGAAAAACTTAACGAATGAACCGACTAAAAAATAGTAGCTTTAGTCCTACAAATTGTACTAACAAGTACTTTTTGCAAGTTATACGTGTCACATTTTCACACACACTCATGCATTGATGATGAAATCCAAATTAAAAAGCATGAAAAATAAAAATTCCTCCAATGACAATGCGAAAATGGAAGGGTAGCCAACTATTAGAAGTCAAAAGTACAAAAGTAATGACCACATGTAGCCAAATATTACACATCCAAAAGATAGGCTTTATCGTCATTTGCCAAAAGGTAGCCAAATATTAGAAGTCGAAAAGATAGGCTATAGTACGGGCCACAATAACAAAAGGCCAAATAGAAGGCCACACAAAGTTTTGGAGCATACATAATGATTCCAAACTACAACCTGTTTTCGAGTATCATCTTCACCTTTGAAGCTTTTTCTTCTTCGTTGACGCTAAAAAAGACATCTATCTCTTCTTTGTTCTTACAAAAGTACTTTGTGACGATAAATTTTTGTTCCGCACTCAACATGGGAATTTTTTCAACGCCTCGTACAAAACCTTCCGTTGCTCCTTCGCGTCGTGTTGGACCCCAATACGTTCCACCATTTGACCCCAACGTTGATCGGCTTTCTCGCATAACGTAGAGAGTAGGCCGACCACTTCAACCTCCACATCTTTAACACGTTTACGTTTGCCTACCCGTTTTCCCTTCCCGGATGCACTACTCTCAACACCCTATGGCGAAGATGACTCAATTTCATTGTCATTGGTTTCGAAGTCAGGTCCAACTCCGCCACGCCTGACATTTTGTGTGGCGGCATCGTCACCCGTATTACTTAGTACCTCTTGCACCACATCAGCGAAACCTTCAGCACCTTTCCCTGTTGCGCGGTACTTTCCAAATATGTCCAGCCAATCACTGTAAAAGGGCCATGGCTTGTTTCGCAATCCTTTAGCTTTGGAATACACCTTCAGTCATACAAAGCTTGGTTGTGTAAGCATAGCACCTTTAAGAAATATTGTTGATTACGAGCACAAATAAAATCATCAAATAATTTATTTTTCATGTTTAATGCAAACCTTAACATAATCGTTCCACACTGCATCTTCTACATCAAGTAGGTGGCCAGTTTCAGACCACCCAACTCCGGAACCGCTCTGAAGTAGTGGTGCAAGTAAACCATAGTTTTTTTTCCATACCGTAATCTTGGACGAGTTGTGAGGCTCGGCTCTAATGGTAGTTCCCGGGAATTGTTGTTGCATATATTGTTCTAAAAACAATGTGTAGCCCGAACGGAACCCGTTGTCAGCTTTCATTCCACGTGCAAGGAGATCTTTCAATCCTTGGATTAATGCACGTTCTTCTTCAAATGTCCAAGTTCGCCGTGGGTTGTTAGTGTTCGGCCCTCGTCCCACGGTAGTCGTACACTCCATCACTAGTAATAAATTTACAAATCATGATTAGTCCAACAATAGTACCATACAAAAAACGAATAAGAAGGGACAATAAATACAATAGAATGAAGTTGGACAATTGTACAAATAATTCAAATTCTGGGGGTAAAACATGAATGTACTTCCACAACAAACAAGGATACGCAACTACATTTCATTTTGAGTCAAAGCCCTCCACATAGAAAACATAAACATTCGAGTTTAACCAAATAAAATAAAATTTAAAAAAAAAAAAACTCCGAGCACAATTCAATTGGTGCGACGCCACTCATTGAACATTGACATAGCTAGTGTTTCTCTTCAAGTAGTCCACTCATTAGTAGGCTCAACCACATCAACATAATCATTTGGGTGGTCTGTGGTTCCTCCGTGTTTGACTCCATTTCAAAAACATGATCGTCACCATCCATAGGATCATTATGCATTGTGCTTCGAATGAAGTTTTGAAGAAGGCAACATGCCAAAATCACTCTATTTTGAGTGACTATGTCGAAAAAAGTTTTACTCCTTAGGACCGCCCATCTCATCTTCAATACTCCGAATGCCCGCTCAATTATGTTTCTTGCTCTAGCGTGTCTAAGGTTAAATAATTCCCTATGATTTCTAGGTGCCCGAGGACCTTCACCGAATTCATTAAAATGATAGCGCACGCCTCAAAATGGAGCTAAAAATCCCGGTCCGTTTGTGTAACCACCATCGCAAAGATAGTAATTACATGTGAAGCGAAAATAAAACAAATAATAAGTTACATAAAGTGTTTGGAATTGCCAATTATAAATTGTGTACGAACCGTACTCAAACTTATATAAACTTCATTTCCAGTAAAGTGAAGGCTCTCACCCGTAGGAACACGTAACCCACCATCTCGACGTACCGCGTCCCTCAAAACTCTACTATTTGCAGCAGACCCTTCCCAACCAACCAAGATGTAAGAAAAGCTCATTTCGACGTCACATACGCCTAACACGTTTACCGAAACAGATCCCTTTCTATTTTGGTACTTCGCATGCTTGTTACTAGGAACACGTACAGGAACGTAGGTTCCATCTAATGCTCCCAAGCATCCCTGCATGTCATAATTGAAAAAAAAAAAGAGAGAGATAACAATCAGAAATAATTATAAGTGTGTTTCCCAGAGTAATCAATTTTTTTTTTTTTTTTTTTTTATTTAAGAGTACTAACCTTAAAACCATTTCCATCTCCAGTCATCCTCAACAGGTTTAGGTTGTACGATGACAAGCGGGTGTAAGCGTAGCACAGCTTTAAGTACTAAATGAAAAATTTTGCTAATAGTTTCACCGGAGCGCTTAAAATCATATTTAACCACCGCGTTCTTTTTATGATGACTTAGCACACTCAAAAAAATGGCCACTTGCTCACTTATTTGCACATTTCGACTACTTTGTAGTTTACCAACATGCTCCACAAGATAGCATAGTCGACCATAGGCATTTCTGTCCATACGTAGTTGTTCCACACACACTCTATCACTAATGCGTATAAGCTCTTGCATATGTTGTAACTGCCTAGGTAGTCGATCTGACATTTTGAACAGACTCCGTCCATTTTGCTCTCGATTTCTACGACGACGTATTTTTTTACTCACAATTTTCAGGTACAACATTGCAACCAAAAACACAATGGTCAATGTATTCATTATATCCTCAACGATGAAAAGAACCTCAACTCCTTCCATTTCAATGTCCATGGCTACAAAAATTTCAGTTTAAAATTAATAGCATATCAGAGGTAAATGCATCTTTTTCAAAACACAACAGATTAGGCATTTAATAAGTGCAGTTGGAAAGAAATGTGTTATTACAGATGAAAAAATGTATAGTCTTCAGGCAAAATGTATTCCATAATAACCGGACCTGAAATTTGCACCACCATTTAGACATTAATTTACCCGACAAAGGTTAACACTTCACACCAGTACCACCCACATAAATCGAAAAAAATAATCTTCGCTTTCAAACTTCGCTTTCAAACTCCCGGTAGTACGTGTGCCGTCGGGAAAACATAAACACGCATACAGATCAAGAAATATTCAACGAAAATGAATAACTCACGACACAGTACAACGAATGTCATGTGGTTCAATGAAATTCAATTTCAGATCCGGAAATATTCAATTTCACATATGCTAGCTTGCTTGCTTTACAAATACAAAAATCAAAGGAAACAACGAATCTCATGTCGTTCAATAAACTTGTCAAAAGGGATAAAAAAAACCCAAAATTAACAAATTAATTGCAAATAAATTCGATAAAATAAAAACAAACTTCATGCAAATATGATGAAGGTGACAAGATCAGACAGGAATGGTATGTTTTGCACCTGATCTGGCGATGACACAAGGAAATCTAGTGCGTAAGTGAAGCCGGCGGGGAAGGATGTGAGAACTTCTCAGTCCAGAAAAGGTCAATGAATATGGAGAAGAAGGTATTTGGCGTGGAGAAATGTGTAGTGGCAGCTTTTAATTTCATGTTCTGTTGAGGGCAATTTTGAACAAAATAATCACTTATAGGGACATATTAGGCATTTTACCACATGCCACTGTGCGGACTTGTCCCAATCACACCCCCCTCGGGCAGATCAAATTATCTTGTGATTGCGGGATTGGAGCACTGTACATCGCGGGCCGCGTCTTATCTCTCGGGCCTTTGTCATGGTAAACAAAAGCGGGATAAAGGGTAAATTGGAGGCCTAATCTTGTATTGTCCGGGCTAACAAACGAGCTCTTAAATGCCATAAATGTAGTCTAATCCTATCTACTCAAGCAAACATAGCCCAAGTAAATAAGGCCCATGAGTCCATGACATAACCGCAAAGTCAAAAACCGTTCTTTTAAGAGGTAAATAAGGCCCATCATATCGAAAACCTCGTGTGGACTCTCTTTTGCCTGCGTCTGTTGATTGATTGATTTTCAGTCTGTTCTGCTCCTCCACCTTCTTCAGCTCAGCCCTCTTATCTCTTCAGGTTCAACTTCTTTCCTTCTTTCTTTTAAGTTTTCCACTTTCTATTCGTCTTTGCCTGTTTTCTGGTCTCTCTTCAATCCCCATGTGTTGGTGGATGATTAGATCTCATTGTGCTACAGAGCCTTTTATCTGATTAAATTAATTCTCAGTTACTTAGTATGGTTAGATCTAGTTTTGCCCCGGTTGATTATTGGATTTAGCACAAGGGCTTCGGATCTGGATCTAAACATTAGGATCCTGAGATTTCCATCTCCAATTCGATCCTACTGCCCTCATTGCCCGGGGATCTACACGTATCCGTACGGGTGTGTGTGTTAGTGTGTTGATCCAATTGTATAAAAACGGTGAGTTAGGTAGGGTCCAACACGCCTTCTATATAGAGGAGTTTGCAAATTTTTTTTTTTATTTTTTTTTCTTGAAGTTTCAATGTGTTGGAAGTTGGAATTGATGTTGGGAAGAATTTGATATCCGCCGAAACGACTCAAAAAGTAGCTCAAAACATGACACTAAGGACTTGAAATTCATGTGCCCAAATATTTTGATGGATTTGTTATTATGGATTTGAAATCCTCTATCCATCAAAATGAGGTTTTGGCTAACTGGTTTTCCGAGCACTGTATGATCGAGTTGTATGGTCTTTTCTTGTTCTTTATGCCCTCACTTTGGCTGTTTCATATACTTACATTCTCTATGGTGCAGCCTTTGCTTCATCTCTAGTATGGCATCCAGCAGAAGCCAGAATGGGATTCAACTCTTACTAGCCGCTGAGCAAGAAGCTCAGCACATAGTAAATGCTGCTAGAACTGGTGATAACTCTTACATTGGAATTTTTGTTTAACATCTTATTGCATTAATCGTAGATGAAGATAATAACAATGTACGTCGTGAAAAACTATTTTTTCTGCTTCTACTTTATTGGTGGTTTATGCCTAGGATTGTAAATGATTAAGTTCTATTATATGCGACACCTTTTCTCTTATGATCTTAAGATGTAAAGCTTGGTTGAAAATCCTGAAGGAATTGGGAAGCTGGTTCATTTATACTATATAGTACCGAGAAAGTGTTACTGTTTTCAGAAATCTGCTAAAAAAATGTTCTTGCGTGGTTAGTGTTGTTGATTATGAATCCGAACTGTTAGCTGATCAGATGAGGTCTGAATTAGGACATAGATTGATACAGTTCTGAACCTTTTTAGACTAGCTGCTTTAGGCTTTACCTTTACTTTGCTGAATAGTAGTAACAATTAAACTTTCATATACTGGTTACTGGTTAGAGGGATTTGTTTCATCCTGTGAGTAGTATATAAGGATAGCTTATTTCAATTTTTTATATATATATATA